ATTATTAAGTAAGTAGTCTTTTTTAATTGGGTGCGATTCCATCTATGATCCTCCCTCATCTCCGTCAAACTGTAGTTAAAGGGAAACCCTCTCCGCAGCAAAACAGAAGAAATCACAGAGAAAACTTCTGTTCACATATTAAAAACTGGAATTCATTTCTTTCTCATGGCCCAAACCCATCTTCATCTTCACGCCTCCTCCTTATTAATCCTCTCAATCCATGGCCGCACCTCTAATTAGCATCTTCATCGCCATAATCTCCTTTCCCCTGACCCGATTCCATCTCCTCCTCATCTTCCTCCACTCCCGACAAACCTCTGAACTCGCTGGACATTGTAGGGTTTCTGTTTTATAAACATGACCACATTGCCTGTTAAATTTTTTTGTTTAGGCTGCAGCAAAACAGAAGAAATCACAGAGAAAACTTCTAAAGAGAAGGATGTTAAGGGCTGCTCGAAAATCAGGTCAAGAGGAAGCTGCATCTAATAGTATCTTTGAGACAGAAATATCAGTTCAAGAAACCACAGAACCATGGTGGGCTGATTTAACTACAGTTTGACGGAGATGAGACGGAGGATCATAGATGGAATGGCACCCAATTAAAAAAGACTACTTACTTAATAATTGATAATTGAGGACTATATACGGAAACTCCCCAGTTATAAAGGACCATTTAAAGAATTTACTCTAAAATTTGATACTGTAACAAATGATAAAACTATCGCTATACACCAAAATAATTCCCTCCACCGCCCACTTCGCTACCACCACCACCGCCACCGCTTGTCCTGCTTATTTTTTCCACCTTCACATTTTTCCTACCTTCTCCATAGCTCGATTGAAGCAAGAAGCGGAGGAGAAGGAAGATGGACGCGACCTGGAGATAGTTTTTTTGCCAATGGAGTAGAACTATGAAGGACAACTTTTGAGTTCTTTCTTTTGCCGATAGAGTTTTTTTTGTTGGGTGTTCTTTTTTTCACTAGATTTTTTTTGGTATTTTTTAAAGAACGACATAAAAGTTATGAAAAATAAGATTGTACATAGTGTGTTTGAGCAAGTCTTTTAAAGTTAGTTTTTGAGTTAATATATATTACGGAGTACTATTCTTTTTAGTCATTTTATGATCTTTTGTAACTTATTACTCCGTAATTGCTTACTGGCCAATTTACATTAACATTTCAATTGCTCATCAACTACGGGAGCATTCACAAGTCACTTTATAGAATCACTTTACTGCTTATTTTTATGCAGCTTAGAAGTAAAAGACCTCTTATCAGCAATACAATAATAAACATCAATACAGAAAAACACACATATGATATGGAGTATATAGAGACTATGAGCACCAACTTTTTTTAGTGGACAAGCTTGGGGAAAATAAGATGCCGTTTTATTGGGCGGACCGGGCCAAGCCAAGCGTGGACATATCAATCTTTTGTACTCCGCAAATAATAGTGTGATGTCCAAACCCAAGCCCGGCCCGTGCCCGTATCCACCACTAGTTACAAAATGGCAGTGTGTCAGCAAACGATTTAACATGACATTATAGGTAGTGCAATTTTACAAAGAACAGAGGCCCAGCTCGTGAAAATTCAACTGACTCGCAAAATCCTTTTTCCCATAGGATCCTGGGATTGTCTGTGCGCTAAAAGCCAAGGATATATAGAGTATGAGCAATGAATCCTTCACCCAATGTTCAACTCCAAGCTTGCACCAAACAGACACACACTAGCATAAAATGTAGCATCTGAAAACAAGAAAAAAAGGGTCTGGGAAAACTTGGATTTGAAACATCATTTTTCTGGAGTGTTTATTTACCGCTGGACCTTATTGAATTTCAAGTTTGGCCATCCAGTATTCGAGTTGACTAGAAACACATTCAGAACCAGTAGAGCCGTAAGAACTGAACTTCTTAATTGCATTCACAACTCCTAGAAACTCATATACTTCCCTGTCAAACACCGGGCTAATGCTGTTTAGCTCATCAAGACTAAGATCCAGAAGCTGGCATTTTTTAGAAACACACAATGCAACAGCCCTCCCAACTATGTCGTGTGATGTCCTGAAAGGAATTCCCTGCAGAAATAGAGAACTATTCATGTTAATCTAATCATTAAGGGTATGTCTGGAACTTGGAAAATGGTAGTGAATATTTAAAAGGGCAAGGGAAAGATTTAATTTTTTTTATTACATTGGAAATACAGATGAAATTCAAAACGTTTTTTTCAATTTTAATTAGTTTGATCTATTAGTCTGAAATATAGAGCTTGATTTTCCTGGATTGGTTGATTCTAATGAGTTGTCTAAAAATTATTTAAAATATAAAATTCAAAAAAATAATTTCTAAGAATAAAGTAACAACCTGCTTGTGCTTTGCTTTTTCAATCGCAGCCAATTTAGCAACAGTTTGCATTTTATGAAAAGACTAGGGTATAAGCCAAAAATGAAGCCTACCAAACAGGCTCATAAATAAAATATCTTTTTTTAGTGCTTAATGATACTCCATATATCTAAATAAAGTGAGTGTGAACAGAATCTAAAATGGGCATATACACAGCTAGAGCCAGTTTTTCTTTTTCTCCAAAATTTCTTTCCATGAGAATTTGCATTATTTTTTTTCCATTTTTGTTTCCCTGGTGTTTTTCGTGTTCGAAACAGACTAAGTCACATGGGAGAGTAATTAGTGAACAATTTTATGGAGAAGAAGTTTCTCACAAGCCCAACTTTAAGAGGTGATGAGGAACTAGGACTTTTTGCCCAAAGTAAAACCGGACCCTAGAAAGAATTCTATAGTTACTAGTTATACCAAGAAAGGAAAAAATCAAGATTTTTTTTACAGTTGTTTTGTGAGAACAGCCCAAACTAGTTCAAGAAGCACTTGCCTTTTTCACGAGGTAATCTGCTAGGGTAGTGGCATCAAGATGGCCAGCTGGTAAAGTCTTTTGTATGCGTTCATGATTAAAAGTAATATTCTGAGCAAACTCTGCAGACACTTCAAGCATTCCCAGTATGGTCTGCACACTATCAAATACAGGTTCCTTGTCCTCCTGATTTACAACAGAATGGGTGGTTAATTTCTTAATGCAACATGTGGTATTTTATTACATAGTATATATTTTTGTGTAAGATGTAAACTTGTTCACAGAACAATGTTACTCTCTCATCTAGAAAAACACACATATAGTGATATAGTACCTGTAAATCTCGGTTATATGCCTGTGGGAGTCCCTTGCACAGAACAAGAAGAGAAACGAGGTCACCTACAACTCTTGCAGACTTGCCGCGAACAAGTTCCATAGGATCTGGGTTCTTCTTCTGAGGCATAATACTGCTCCCAGTAGAAACTGAGTCACTTGGTGTGACAAAGCCGAATTCCTCTGAAGCCCACAATACCCATTCTTCACCAAGGCGAGAGAGATGAATGGCAGTGATGGAATTTGCAGACAGAAGTTCCATAACAAAATCACGATCTGAAACAGCATCAATACTAAATGCACAACATGGAACAATTATCAGTTATATACTTAGACACTAGATCCTCAAATATGAGTTGAGTGCAATCTTTTTAAGAGATGTATAAGAGTGAGCACACATGCAATAACAAAGGGCATGCCATCAGATAATCAAAACTGAATTCCTTTAACATTTAGTCATTTACTCCCTGCATCCCATAACTTAGTGCCATATGACTTAGCATGCTATTTGAGGCTTTGTTTGGGAATAGTGCTTGTGATAAGCGTTAGCATTTTGATAGTTGTTTATTGGTGCAAATTAACGTTGACAACAGTAAAGCTAAAAGTTGTCATTGGATAGCATTTTCAAAACATTGAAGTTATTGCTTAAAGGAGCCTGAATGGAGAAGAAGTTGTGTGGTTAAAATTTGTTTATAGTGAAAAAATATGGTCCACGTGATCTTTTTTTAAAAGAAATGTGCTACCAATAATCCCAAACATAGTTGTGAAATGTGCGCCCAAGGGGCTAGTGGCTGGGCATCATGTTACTTAATGCAGGCAGGATCCCTGATGCGTGCGCATTATTGTGCATTATCGCATACTGTGATACGCTTGGTACACAGATGAGGCGCGCCTCAGGGAATCTTACACAACAGCAACGAGCCAAAAACCCAGTTGGATCCCGTGCGGGTAGGGATTGGGGGTGTTGTGTGTATGCAGACCTTGCCTTTACTCGAAAGTAGGGAGGCTATTTCCAAGAGACCCCCAGCTCAAGGAGCACAGTTAGCACAGGAACACAAAAGCCACATAAAAAACGGAGCATAAAAAGCCAACAAAGTAAGTAATGACAGAAAGGCACAGCAAGCATAGAGCACAAAGCATAAAACCAAGCATAGAGCCTCAGGGAAACTTACAATATTTTTAAAACAATTTAAACACTGTAGGGTTACTTTATTAACAGAGTAACTCTCACAATTCACATCTCCTGTGGATTCTCGTAGCTCTTGCAGCTTCAGCATCTGGCATCGTAAATTTTTTCTTCTTCAATATGTTCTTGGTTTTCTTGTCTATGGACTATGCCATTAATTTAGACTTTAGGTTTTTCTTTATTTGCCTGATTTGTGCTACTGTGTGCGACTTTGGTTCTAGGTTGTTTTCTAAAGCTTGTCTCATTCCTTTCGAAATTTGGTGTCCATTATGGCATTACCAATATAGAGATGTTACCCTTATATGTTCTACATTTATGCCTTGTGTTCTTGATGTGTGCAGCTCAATTGTATTGTACATTGCACCAGGAGGCTCCAAGGCCCATTGTGCATCGGTGTGCTTTGCGCCTTTAACCACATTGATATTAAGTTTGGATGGTCTTCCAAGAATAATCCCACATTGCAATCTTGCCAAGAATAATCTATGCCCAAGGTTTGCTCCAATCTTCAAAAAATTCCCTAACTTTAATGTCATTTATATTTCATTAACTTTTTACAATTATAATCCTATCTTACCATCTCACAATTTTAGACCAGAACTGAACTCTCAAAAAATGCATAGATCTAAGATTCGACATAAATAATTTCAAACATGGACTACGGACCGAGCTGGGTGCCCAGGACATTCACAACCAATATTTTGTTTTTTTAAATAACACATGTCATCTAGAATGTGTTTTAATAATAATAATAACAATAATAATAATAATAATAACAATAATAATAATAATAATAATAATAATAATAATAATAATAATAATAATAATAAATGGCCGATAATATTTAGGCCCGGTTAATTTCTGGATACAAATTATTTGTGTTCGACCTTCACTCTACACATGTTGGAGATTCCGACTTTGATCCAAAATGGTAGGTTTGGATCATGTTTTCAAAAGGTTGGGATTATTTATGGAAGACCGCCCAAACATGGGATTATTCGCAACGAATAGGACCAACGGAGGGAGTACATCGTTTACAAGATTTCTTTTTCTTAAAAATAGTCCTACAAGCTTATTAATCACATCAACTGCATAAATGTATGTCCCACGTAGTTATCAATCAAAAAGACAAATGACCAAATAAATAATGCATTGTGGATCACTATGTTGTTTTCTTTATTGTATTGGCAGGAAAGAAAAAAAACTTCATAAAAGTAAATAAATAGTTCCTACCGAGATACACGGGTGGCTACCTGTTCCTCATGGGTGCAGTGAATCCCAATGCATCAGAGGTCATGAAGCGGTCAATGGGAAGACCAGTACCAGCTAAGGCACATGCTCCTAGAGGACAATAGTTCATCCTCCCTCTACAATCCACTAAGCGGCCGGCATCACGTTCAAGCTACAAGAAATCATTGTTTCAGCAGTTAACATGGTTGAAGAACTTTAGCAACTGAGTCTGCTTGAGAAGCTAGAAAAGGGACAATATACGGAGTATTTACAGTAAATGGAGGGAAAAAGCAGAAACAATAGTAAAGGGTAATTGAAACCTCCAACTGTACATTCTCAGGTATTGAAATTATTCAGACACAAGGTGCATGTAATTAGATAAAGAAAGTTTTATTTCATAAATCAATAAGGGTCTGTTTGGAACTTGAAAATGCTAGGAATGAAAACATGGAAGAAATTTGGAAAGAAAGAAAATGCAAGAGAATATTAAAAATGTGTTTAAACTTTAAACTCAATACATTTATTTTTTATATGTTCTCTTCAACTTATCATTATTGCTTGATATTCAGCTCAGAAATAGCTTTAAATCTAACTAGAATCAGATCAGACCAGTTTAGGCCTTAATAAAATCATATCAGAACCACTCCCATTAGACAAAGAGAACAACTTCTAAAGGGTATAAATGGCTTATGGGGGAGAGGGCTAGGCCTTACTGGATAGACCTAGTCTGAAATTGCTTAACCATACCTAAACATCAAATATTAGTCTGCCTTTTGATGAGGGGCAGAGTGCAAACGAAAAGCAGACTTATCACATTTATGAATGTTGATTAGCAGAGTGTCCTGTGTGAACAAGAAGAGGAAGACATGAAGCATCTGTTCTGGTAGTGCCAGTTTACTAGAGATGCCTGGAGTCAAGTTTCTATGTGGAGGCTATTGAAAACTTCTGCTAAGAATATGCAAGAAGTCTGCAGGGATCTTCTGAGCATTGGCAACAAGTAGAGGAGGATGATGGTTGCTATTTGGGCAGCAGTGTGCTTTAAAATCTAGAAGGCTAGAAATAGTATAGTGCATCAGAAGATGAAATGGAAGGCTGGAGAATGCTGCAAATATGTTATAGATCAGACAGAATACTACTTTCAACACAAACATAAAGCAATCAAGTAAAGTGTATAGGTGGTAGTTAATTTACTAAGTTAGGTTATTTTGCTATACTGGTTTGTAAAACTCCCTTTGGTTTGGATGTTGAAATGAAGTGCTTTCAGTTCCGAAAAAACGGATAATATCTCAAAAGTGCAGCCTGGGAGGGTGGGTGTGCAAGCACCTAACCAGGCATTTGTCTAAATCCAAACCTACCATAAAGGAAAATATTGTGCATTGTATGAAAAGTAATACTTGCAAAAAAAAGAGTAACTATTAATCCTTGACAGAAAATTAAATAGTTATGATTAAATAAAAGAGTCATTATTCACAATGTTTCAGCTTCATCTACATAAGATAACAGAATAAATCCAAATGGCACATTAAACTTTCCTTGCTTCTTACTTTCTATGAGGTTTTGGGAAGTAAATGCAACAATGCATCTAGGGTCTAACAGAAATAGTCTCTATGTTTTTCAAGGGTAAGACTGCGCACATCTTGACCCCCTAGACCCCAACTGGGCTGGGTTTATATTGGGCTGTTGTTGGTGAATAAATAAAAGAAAAATACATAATAATAAAAAACTAAATCCAATTGGCCTACATGGAAAGTTTTCTGACTATATTCACTACCATCGCCACCAATATACTAAATATCATTACACTGTAACATACCTGCTCTACATATGCTAATAGAAGATGTTGCAGCAGTACTGGTTGCGCTCTTTGCAAATGGGTATATCCAGGAACGATCAGACCCTTGTTCATTATGGCTAGTTTGATCAAAGCAACCTACACGCATACATAATAAAGTTCATGAACCATAATGAAATCATTACATGATAGTAGGTGTCTTCAGTCTCACACTAGGCTATGATGAAGCAAAATTACTTCTTCCCAGTATTGAAATTATATGAAAATCATTTATTGTGATATTTGGTATGTAGGGGGAATCCATAATAAAATCACAATATTAAAATGAAATAAACATGAGCCAACACCATAGTAGAAGAGCATATGACCTGAAGATCTCTGATACGCAAAATGATTCTATCAATAGCATCACGGCACCATAAACGGAAGTCAGTTAAAACTTGATCATTTCGACTTCTAGCAGTATGAAGCTTTTTTGCAGATTCACCAATTAAATCAGTAAGTGCTGCTTCAATATTCATGTGCACATCCTCTCTGTCAGTCCTCCAGATGAACTTGCCTGCTTCAATTTGCTTCTCTATCTCAACTAAACCGTTAAGAATTGAATCCCTGTCATCTTCGCTAATCAATCCCTACATTTGATTCCAAAAAAAAGGATCTTCCATTTACAAACTACACCATCGCCCCATCAGACTAAAGCTCACAATTGACTATAAAAACTAAGAGCGTAATGATCTATATCTGGAACTATGGAAATGTACGGACCTGGGCTGCAAGCATAGACGCATGAGCTCGGCTGCCCATGATATCCTGCTTGTAAAGAGCTTTGTCAAAAGAAATCGACTCCGTGAACTTCTCAACGGCGGCAGTCACACTCTCCTCGAACCGCCCACCCCAAAGCTTAGCTTCCTTTTGTTTTCCCTTTTCCGCCGCCATGGACGGTGGCGCGTTCATGTGCTGCGAGGCGTACGTGAGAAACGGCGGACGCGCTGCTTTGGCAAACAAGGGTTTCGGCGTGTGTGCAGAAAAAATAGGTGAAAATGTTGAAGAAATTGAGCTCACTAGAAAAGATGACTCCATCAAACGGCCCAGCTGAGCACAGTGGAAATTTACGATGGGGTTCCGGTTAGAGCTGCACAAATTCCCGAGTATCACCGTTGCTTGGACGGGAAGAGTGTAGCTCCACTAGTTCTATCAGCCGATTCCCTTTTCATTTTTAATTAGAAATCAAATAAAAAATAAAAATAAAATAAAACATTTATTTTCAAAAATAAAAATAAAATAAAACATTTTATTTCAAAATAAAATAAAATAGGTAGTATGTTTTATTTTTAAAATAGAAATTTACATAGTTTGTACGACGAACCCACGCCACCTTACACAACAAGGACGACCCTTGCCCTATGAGAATCGCCCAGTTTGTAAGACAAACTCACGACATCTTAATTTCACGAATGAGACTAGAAACCAGATGAGAGTGGTACTTGAAAACCTAAATACCATGTATGTACACTATGCCCGAACTTGTGATGTCGGATAACTAAGTCCGACATGATCACACTATAAGAGACACACAAGGCAATGATTTCTTTCGCATGCATATGTTGTATTGTGTTATGCATTGAATATAAATGATTGAATGAAGCATAATGTTGAAAAGAATTTGTAATCAATATGATAATATATTACATGGGTGGGTTTACTGAATTTAAATATAATCTAAATGTCAATTTGATATATCATGTTTTACACAACTGAATTTAACTAAGCTATAGGGTTCGTAACGGTCGGTCGTGTTGATATGCTTCTCAGATTCATGATCTGCCACTGTGATGGTCGATCATTGCCTTATAGCGGTCGACCGTGATGATACACCTAGGGGTGGGTACGGGCTGGTCCGGGCCAAGTTTTGTATAAACCGGACTCGGCTTGTTTTTATTAAAACGGTCCGGGCCGGAACATGTTTTTGAAATTTTAAAATTGAAACCGGACCTAACCCGGCTTGTTTGAAACGGGCCGATTCTACGGGTCAATGGGTTCTAACCTATCATGATACTAACATTCTCCAAAACAAATAGAAATTATAGAATAATGCCTTCAAAGGGTAATTGGATGGTGGATTATGAGGAATTGAGGTGTGAATAATTATAGGCCACACGTCCACATACAAAACTGACGTAGATGGATACATGAAAATAAAACAATTGCACAAATGAAACACATCCACATATATAAAACATGTCCACATAATTGCAGACCACACGTCCTGGAAGGACCGAAAGATTGAAGGGCTTAGGCGGGTATATCCGTATATTTACTAAAAATAATATTAAAAATAATAATGGGATTTAAAAAAACGGTCCGGTTCAGGTCAATACAAATTCAACATGGGGAACCGGACCGACCCTAAAAGCTATAAGGACCGGACCGACCCGGACCGTTTTAAATTTTTGAAAAGACGACCCGGACCTAACTCAGACCGAACCTGGCGGTCCGGTTCCGACTCGCGGTTCCTGGACCCGATTGCCCAGCCCTACATATACCACTTATGCAATTTTCATTACTTGATTGATTTCTTTGACATTTTTATTTTATTTTTCATTGATTAAATCAAATCTCATTATTGTTTCATTTGATAACCGGCCCTTTTAAAATATTTTACCTCTTCCTCCAAAAAATGTTATTACAATTTGATATTTTTGGTCAAGTTGCTATATACTTTGACCACTATGTGTAAATAGTATATTATATTTAGTTATAATATAAATTTAGAAAAAATGTGTCCATTTAAAATGTTATTTTTATATATCAAGATTTTATAACATTTAATTATTGAAAATTATATTTAATTTGTAATCAAAGTGTTAGATAACTTTACCAAAAAAATCAAAGTATGATAATCTTTTGAAACAAATTGAGTATATAGATTAAAAATCTTAATATATTTTATTCAATGTTTGTATTCATTTTAGAGTTTATGTGTTACACCATTTAAAAATATGTTTGGACATAATTAGTTTTTATCCAAAATAGATTTTGTAAACTTTATTAATCCTTTAAAAAAGAAAGAGTGGTGTGATTTTTAACAAACTATTTATTATTTTTCTTTTTATTACATCTCAAAATAAAGATTTATATAAATTTTAATACATGTACATCCATATTATATTAAAATTAAAAATTTACTCTCAAAAGAGATACAGAGTATTACATACACACACATATCATTATTAGAGAATTTAAAATTAGGGGTATGCGTGAAATCCATTCCCGTTGGACCGTTCCGAAAAATCCCAGATCCGTTTTGTAATTGTACCGATATATTGGAACACAATTTTTTGGTCCTGAACCCGTTCCGTCCCAATATCAAATGGGACATGAGCGGGACAGCTTAAATTTATACTGATCTGTCCTGTTTGTCCTGGTTCATCTACTCTACTAATCCTTTATATATAATATTTGACCCTAACCCATCCCCCCACTATGACAATTGTACCCCACAAGTTTAGTTGACTTTAAAGTCAAAATTTTTTACTTTAAAGTCAACTAAACTTGCGGGGTGCAATTGACATATATGGGTGGAGGGATGGGTTGGAGTCAGGACTGAGCGAAGGGTTTACTAGAGAAGGGGGTAAGAAGCATCAATTTTACGAACAGAGAACTGTAAGTATCCGAGTCAGAGCAGTGACTTCTTTGGCCACTAAAAGCAGTGCCCATGGAACCGGTCCGTAAATCGACTAGGTTCAATGGCCACTCATTTTGAGTGGCCGAACAACTACGTTATTAAAAGTTAGAATTTATGAAAACTTGTAAATTTGTTTTACATCTCAATTGACTCAATCATATAAAAAATTAGTTTTTAACCCGTGCCATGCATGGGTGGAATGAATTTTTAATTTTTCTTTGCTATAACATTTTTAAAAAATCGTATGTACCAAATAAAACATCAACATTAGAAGTTAGAATAATGATAAAATATACTACTTCTATCCCACAAAACTTTTCTTGTTTTGACTTTTAAATGATTTATTTTGATGTTGATCTTTCAAAAATGTCCTTCGATACGATGGTTAAAAAGTAAGATGTGATAGGTAGATTAATACTGAAAATATATGATGTGATAGACAGGTTAAATATTAGTAAGGGTAAAAGTGAGTCTTTAATAGCAATGAGAAAAGTTTTTTGGGAAGGATGAAAAAATAAAGGAGAAAAGTTTTGTGGGACAGAGAAAATATAATATTTGCTAATGAAAATTATACTATATATATTTGAAAATTAACATGTCAGACTCTTATTTAAATTAGAACATTTTGAAAAATTAAGGTATATAACATTTTTGTGTGATGTTATAAAAGACTACCAATAGGATCTAAAACTAATACTTCCAACCTGACATTTACGCTCACTCACTAAATCATAATAATGGTGAAATTATTAAGAGCATTGATGGATATCGGGTCTGATGAACCCGACTCAAGGCCCAATAAAGACCCACAATCGTGCAAAGTAAACAAGTCCATGTGCGTGTAAACAATCATGGGCTGAATTAAGATGAACCAGTCCGAGAGAGGAACAGGATACGTGGCCCACACCGCAAATTGTTGGGGAAATGGGAAGAGAACAAGACCGGAAAGGAAGGGAATCACAACCCCATGATCTCCATAATTCTACCCATTATGTGTAACTTTAGTTGAGAAATTAGAAGTATTATAAAAAGGGGAAGAACCCGCCATTGTAAAGGGAGAGAACGTTCTGATTACACACCCAATTAGAAATATTATTACGAGATTATATTCTCTTGATTCTTATTCTGGTCTTAGTCCGCCATCTGATCGGGTTAATCCCATCATTGGTGCTTTCATTGAGAGATATACTGTGAGACGAAGTTGTGAGATTATGGCCGGACGAAGGACTAGAGGTAACACCGCCGCTTCCGCCCAGTCGACAGTGAGGAGTGACTAGCCTGAACAAGGCATGATTGTTCTAGTCAATGAGCTGGAAACGACATTGAATAATGTGGCCAACATTATGGAGCGCTTAGATCAGGCTCTCCATGCCCAACTAATACCCGGAATGTCCCTGCCGGGCAACCCCGCCAGGTCTTGCGCGCTGCCAGTTCTCCCATCCTCCACGAGCTTCACAATCCGGAGGAGATCGAGAGGGAGAGACAGGCTATCGCTAGGCGCCAGGCGGAGGAGATGGCCCGGAATAATAGGGCGAATGGAGATCGGACCAGGGCCGTGAGCCAAGTCATAGGCAATGGAAACGGAAACTCGCGGGGAACCGTTTTTGAAAGGATATCTCACCAGAGGGCTCACGTTAGTGAGAGGCTGGGGAAGAATCCAGACAAGGCGCCCCAGGGCTGGGTACGACCCCAGACCAGCCAAGTGGCATCCTCTAACCGTGAGCCTCGGCAGCGAACCGGCCGCGGTGGGAGCCAAGCGCTAATGTGGTCATTGGTGGTCTTGGACGAGGAGGAAGTTCAAAGCCAAGATAGGGTCCCAGCACCGCAGCGTCTGGGCCGCAAGTACCGGAAGCTGGCGAGTTCCAGGATCTGAGGCAACAGATCCAGGAGATGCAGAGGAAGATAAACAAGGGACGAGTGTTCACTACCCGGACGAATACCCCACTTGCCCCAGAGATCTTTGCAGAACCCTATCCGCAGGGATTCAAAATGCCATTTGTCAAGCGTTATGATGGGGAATCGGATCCCTAAGAACACATAAATAGCTACGTCCAGGTGATGATCGACGTAGATGCCAGTGACGTGTTGATGTGCCGGTGTTTCTTGCAGACGGTTGATAGCAAGGTTGCGGACTAGGTGAATCACATTCCAGCCGGATCGATCCGGACTTGGGATGAATTAGGATTGTGGTTCCTAGAACATTTTGCAGGGAACTGACGTCCCAAGAAGCATTTTACCCACTTGGCCTCAGTGCGGCAGAAACACGGGGAGTCCTTGAAGAACTTCCTCAAAGGTAAACCGATGATAAATCTAGATTAGCCATGTTCACGGTGGCACTACAAGATGGTCTCCTTCATACCAATCTCACAACACATCCCCCGGATACCTTTGAGGAAGCAATGGTACGGGCCGGAAGGTATGTGACCTTGGAGGAGAGGAAAGAGGAGAAGAAAGAGAAGACTCTTAAGGAAGAAGAAAAGGCGAGAAACAAGAAGCCTTTCAAGAACAAGAAGCAGGGCTTCCCGGATGGCCCGAAGGGCACGGACCCTGGGACCTCGGAGAAGCATAAATATGCTAATCCAGTGTTTACATTACCGGTGGCTGAGGTCATGGCCCATGCTGCACAGCAGGGACTGATGACATATCCAACCTATTCCCATAAGGTTTGCAATGTGGAGGACACTGGGAAATGGTGCACTTACCATAACAAGAATGATCACAATACAGAGGACTGTTATACCTTGAAAAATGAGATGGCCAAGCTAATCCACCGGGGTCATCTGAAAAAGTTTGTACAAGATGGGGACGGAGGAAACCCCAGGAATGGTCAGAGCGGAAAGCGGAGAGAAGGGCAGGTGGCCCAGGCCGAGTCCCGGGAGAAACGCCACATTGGACTCGAGGATGAAGAGGACGATTCAGAACCTGCGCCACACCGACAAAAGAGGCACTATGGGTGTAATTATATCATTGGTGGAGATTCAACCACGAGTCGGAAAAGGTGGGCTAGTGCAGCGATGGTCAATAAGGTGGCGGCCCCTGCCCAACCGGAAGGTAAGAAGCTAAAACTGAGCCAATTCTATTTTCTAATGCTGATCTGCCAAAAACGGGGGTCCCCCATAGGGACGTGTTGGTGATTACAATCGATATAATGGACTTGCTGATCCACAAGACTTTGGTGGATACGGGAAGTTCCGTTAACATCATGTATATGGATACTTACAAGGCTCTGGGTCTGACGAGGGATGAGTTATTACCCATTAAGACTCCTCTCACCGAGTTCACAGGCGACTCTATTGAACCGGAGGGGGATATAACCTTGCCGGTCGAGGTAGGAGACACTAAGGCCACCCGGAAATTGGACATGGAGTTCGTTGTAGTGGGGATAATCTCTAATACTAATGTCATTCTAGGAAGACCCGGATTAGAAGATTTGGAATGTGTTATCTCACCTCGTCACTTGTGCATAAATTTCTCAACCCTGCATGGGATTGGAATCGCCAGGGGATCTCAGAGGGTGTCCCGGGCGTGGTATTTGAAGGCAACTAAACAACCTATCAGATACGACACCCAGGTGGGGGAGGTAACTGCACAGTTCTTAAGAGCCGAAGAAAGACGTCCTAGAGTTGATGTTGCAGGCGACATAGAGGAAGTAGAGCTGGAGCTAGGTATGCCGGGAAGGTTGGTTAGAATTTGAAGGGGCCTGGGGGCTGAACTCAGGTCACGAGTAATCTCTGTCCTTAGAAGATTCAGGAAGATTTTTTCATGGAGTCCAGCTGATATGCCGGGGTTGGATCACAAGACTGCAGTTCATCGTCTCAACGTTTTGCAAGATGCTAAACCGGTGAAGCAGAAGCGGAGGCATCTGTCGCAAGAAAGGAGAGATTTCGTGAAGAAGGAGGTGACAACCTTGTAGAGCATTGGACACATCCAGGAGGTGCATTACCCGGATTGGTTGGAAAATGTAGTCTTGGCGCCTAAGCCTCCTTCGTGGAGAATGTGCGTCGACTACACGGATTTGAACAAAGCATGTCCGATGGATTCGTTTCCTCTCACCAATATTGACCAGATGGTTGATGAGACTGCCGGATCAGAGTTAATGAGTTTTATGGACGCCTTCAGTGGCTATCATCAGATTCAAGAGGCGGTGGAACACATAGTTGTGAAAAGCGCACCTGAGGCGCGATGCACACGAAGCACAGGGTCTGTGCATCAAGCTTTGTGATGCGGGCGACACACAGGAGGCGCGCGCATAACTGTGCATCATCGCATCATGCGGTGCGATCTGAGGCGCTACAAGGCGCGCATCGCTTACACATCTTTAGATTTTAATTTTTTTAAATTTTTTATCGATTAGTGATAATTGGTTGCTGTCGGAAAGATGTCGCCTAGAGTAATTGACCGCTGGTCGAAGTAGACGATGTTTTTTCAGGAGCCGACCCGATAAGAGCGACCCAAATTTCATTTATTTTTTTAAAAAACCCTAGAACTCCATCACTTGTCGACTTGGACTGTGTTGAAGTCACAGTCCAGATCTGAAGCCCCTCTTTATTTATTGGACTTCTAAACTCGTTACTATCACATTTTGATTTACTATTTATTGTTCTAGATCAAAAGTTGGTGAATATTGATTATGAAAACGTTACATAGTAGTTAGCTGTGATGCATTCTTTGTTTGATAGACTGGAAGAGGAATGATTTTGATCAATGCTGAGCACTATAAACAATATTACCGCTATCAAAGACTCATGCCAAGCTAAAGTTGATAAGAGATGTATGCTTTATGTCAATTTGAGACTATAAGAAATATCATATGTCGAGCTGAATTTTAGAAGACCAGGAAATATTTTAAATACAAAAAAATCATATTACTGGCATGATATCACAACATCTCATGGGTGAAGAAAAGTGACAAAACTATTTTGAGTTTAAACATTTTATTGCTTCCTGATTATTTTCCTTCTGATATTGACTTTTTTTCTCTATGTTTTTTGTTAGTTAACATGATACCATGGCAGTAGATGGCCCTCCATTTGATCCCAGCATATCCATAGGACACAACTTCTTTGAGC